TCTACAGATCCATCGATCTACCGATCCAGCGATCTACCGATCCAGCGATCTACAGATCCAGCGATCTAACGATCCAGCGATCTATAGATCCAGCGATCTACAGGTTCAGCGATCTACCGATCCAGCGATCTTCAGATCCAGCGATCTATAGATCCAGCGATCTACCGATCCAGCGATCTATAGATCCAGCGATCTACAGCACCAGCGAATTACCGATCCAGCAATCAACAGATCCAGCGATGTACTGATCCAGCGATCTACAGATCAAGCGATCTACAGATCCAGCGATCTACCGATCCACCGATCTAAAGATGCAGCGATCTACAGCCCCAGCGATCTACCGATCCATCGATCTACAGATGCAGCAATCTATAGATCCAGCGATCTATAGATCCAGCAATCTACAGCTCCAGCGATCTACCGATCCAGCGATCTACAGATCTACAGATTCAGCGATTTAACAATCCAGCGATCTACAGCTCCAGCGATCTACCGATCCAGCGATCTACAGATCCAGCGATCTATAGATCCAGCGATCTACAGATCCAGCGATCTTCCGATCCAGTGATCTAAAGATCCAGCGATCTACAGATCCAGCAATCTACAGATCCAGCGATCTACCGATCCAGTGATCTACAGATCCAGCGATCTAACGATCCAGCGATCTACAGATCCAGAGATCTATCGATCCAGCAATCTATAGATCCAGCGATCTACAGCTCCATCGATCTACCGATCCAGCTATCTACAGATCTACAGATTCAAGATCTAACAATCCAGCGATCTACAGCCCCAGCGATCTACCGATCCAGTGATCTACAGATCCAGCGATTTAACGATCCAGCGATCTACAGATCCAGAGATCTATCGATCCAACGATTAATAGATCCAGCGATCTACAGCTCCAGCGATCTACCGATCCAGCAATCTACCGATCCAGCGATCTACCGATCCAGCGATGTACAGATCCAGCGATCTATAGATCCAGCGATCTATACATCTAGCAATCTACAGATCCAGCAATCTACCGATCCAGCTATCTACAGATCCAGCGATATATAGATCCAGCGATCTATAGATCCAGCGATCTACAGATCCAGCGATCTACCGATCCAGCGATCTACAGATCCATCGATCTACCGATCCAGCGATCTACCGATCCAGCGATCTACAGATCCAGCGATCTAACGATCCAGCGATCTATAGATCCAGCGATCTACA